AATTAAAAACAGCAAAACAAGTTCACAAATCATGAACATAAATACTTATTTACCATTACGTTTAAATTCATTTCATTTCATTCGCATTAATTTAGCCGGTAAGTATAAAAATTACATACAATATAAAGTTTAAAATCATACTAAATGTGAAATAAATATTTTATAACTATCTCATAGAGATTCTAAATATGGAAAATGTGCATATTGTAATGAATATAATACGCGGGTAGCATGGTGTCAGACATGCGATCCTGACATAACCATTCAAGGATGGACAAGTGGGAATAAAAAGATTGATGATTGCGTGAAAGCGTTTCAACTTAGAACTAATTGGTATGAAAATATGATTGAATGGATTTCATTTGATAGGCTAGTTAATATTGAAAAAATCGGTGAAGGAGGATTTGGCTCTATATTTTCTGCAACTTGGTTAGATGGTATACGAAAGATCAAAGAAATTGAGAATACTTATGAGAGAGTGCACAAACCATCTAGCACTGTTGCTCCCAAGACCTTATTTGGTTCTTGCTCTATATTTTTTGCAACTTGGTTATGTGGTAGACGAAAGATCAAAGAAATTGAAGAAATTGAGAAAACTTATGAGAGAGCGCGCAAACCATCTAGCACTGTTGCTCTCAAGACCTTATCTGGTTCTAAGGAAAATCATGATTTTTTGAATGAAGTAAGTAAATTATTATTATATAATTGTATAGATATATTTGTATAGTTTTATTAAGTGAACTAATTTATATAAATTTATAAAGTTTGAAAGTCTTACGAAATGTGGTTTGTATGGCAGTAAGCTTAAAATATATGGATTGACTCGAAATACAAAAACAAATGAATACTTGATGGTATTTCAATACGCTGATAATGGAAGCCTTTATAAGTTTTTAAGAAAAAACTTTCAAGAGCTTACCTGGCAGACTAAATTAAAGCTACTTTGCGATATTTCAAAAGATTTACATAATATTCATGATGCAGGGTATATTCATGCAGACTTCCACAGTGGTAATATTCTGCAAGATAAAGGTATTAGCATTGTTATACAATCCTACATTTCAGATATGGGTTTGTCTAAAAAGTATGGTGAAAATGATTCGTAAGATGGTATTTATGGAGTTATGCCTTATGTTGCTCCAGAAGTCTTATCGGGTCAAAAGTTTACAAAAGAAGCAGACATTTATGGTTTTGGGGTCATTACGTCTGAGATGTCAACTGGACTAAGGCCTTTTGATGGTCACGAATTTGATGAAAGTCTTGCAATTAAAATTATTCGCAATGGACTTCGTCCTGAATTTGCTCCTGGAACTCCGGATTGCTATATTGAATTAGCTATGAAATGCATGGATTCGGATCCACAAAAACGGCCTAATACTTATAGAATTAAGTATTACCTTGAAAAATGGATTAAAAGAATGGAAAGTTCAGACGATTCAAATGAAATTAAAAGGCAATTCTTAGCTGCAGATAAAGTGGTCAAAGAATTGCCAACTACGTCACCAAAACATCCTGATATTATGTATACTAGCAAAATTATCAACACTCAGAAAATATCTAGCGCTAATTAAAGGTGCTTATTTTTATAATTATTCTAATTATATATATTATTTATGGATCATCTATAGTATAGATAGGCAATATTGAAATATTATAAGATTATAATATAAAAAACTCTAACCCTAACCCTAATCTAACCTTAATTTAAACTATAACCCTCACCCTAACCCTAACTATTTTCAAATAATTATTTTTATATATTATAATCTTATAATAATTCATTCTGCCATCTATACTATAAATCAACCTTATTTATTTACTTCTTCATTAAATTAATTATATTGTATTAGAAACTTTGACAAGTAAAGCTATAAATTCTGCCAAAATTCCTCTTGGTAAGTATTGCATATGGTAGTTTAATTTAAGCAAATTTAGTACTTATTATATTTGGATTTAGATTATTAAAATATTTATCTTAAGAGATCTACTTTGTATTATTACTTAAATGTTATTATTCCCACCGTCCTGGGGAATAAATAGTTTTTATTTATGAAGTTATACTATTAAAAATTTTATATATTATTATAAAATTATATAATTAATAAATCTAGTTATAATTTACAAGAAAAATTCGTGGCATCTACAATACCATAATTTTCAATGAGTCAATATAGCTAAGTCTATAAGTCATTGTAAAAATTCTTTTGCAAAACTTGCTTGCTATTCCATTGTAGTTTAGGCTGGATTAGCTTCCTCTGGAATTATCACTAATTCTACTATGAGTTACAGTAAACAATTCTTTTACAAACTTTTACTCATTATCTTAGTATGTTTCTATAGTTGAGCTAGTTTGCAATTAATTACTATTAATTCTATAATGAGCTACTGCAAAACATTTTGTTACAGACGAACTTATTATCACCCTTTTTAATTGATTAATAAATGTTCTTTATACTCACACGCTAAATTAATGCGAATGAAATGAATTTAAGCGTAATGGTAAATAAGTATTTATGTTCATGATTTGTGAACTTGTTTTGCTGTTTTTAATTCCATTGATTAATAAATGTTCTTTATACTCACTCACTGAATAAAATTATTAATGGAATGAAATGAATGAATTTAAACGTAATGGTAAATAATTATTTAAGTTCTTTATTTGTGAACTTGATTACGGTTTTTTTCTAAAATTAATAAATGTTATTTATACTCACGGACTGAATTGGCACAAATAAAAAACATTTATGAGCTTAAATGTCAGATATACAGATTAACATATTCTTAATACTTACTCTCTAATAGTTAAAATTTAATGAGGTTATTTCCAATTTCAGTTTAATAAAATGCAAACATTTATAATAAAAAATATCAAAAATTAAATTACTTGTAAATCCATTTGCGATGTTCAATGTCATTTTTTTTTACGCCAATTCCATATCTGTAACAAACAGCAGTTTTAAAAATTCCCATCGAATTACCTTCCTCAGCTGATTTGAGATAGTGCATAAATGCTTTGTGTTTATTGATTTCAACACCAATTCCTAAATAATAACAATAACCAACTTGATATATTCCGTTAGAATTATTCATGTCTCCTGATTTTTGATAATGAATAAATGCCTTGTTTTCGTCCTTTCCAACACCAATTCCATATTCGTAACAATATCCAAGCCAGTACATTCCATCTGAATCGTTTATGTCTGCCAATTTTTGGCTAAGTTTTCTCTTTCCATTTTAGTTATGAAAAAACTAAAAAAAATAAGGAAAGTAATGTATCATATCGATGCTGTATCTTTATTATACTTACAATGGTTATACAATATAATTAATTAGTGAGCAATATATACTAAATTATACCGATGCGGTATCACATTACGGCGCATTTGCGAAATATCCCAAATAAAAAATTTGACTACTAATACGTAAATATAGGCTTTAAATGAGATAATCAACATTCCCTGCGTCATTTAATGAATTTTCTTGTCTAATGGGATGCGTCGGGAAGTGGGAAAATGGGTTAGCATGTTGGAAAGATGGGTTTGACTCGTTATTAGTACAGATCAAGGGTTTAACATTGATTGAATTAAAATTTAATTTCGCAAATGCGCCGTAATGAGTAGTGATTCAAAAGAACTAGTTCTACATGTGCAGAAATAATTGTAAAACCGATCTACAATTCTACAATGCAGTAGCTAAAACCTTCAAATCCTTAATTGTGATCGGTTATTATAATTTTTTTTTAACCTTCTAGCGAAGGTTTCTCAATAACTACTTAATCAAATTTAGATAAATTTTTTTATTTTAATTCTATATTTTTTGTATAATCAAAATAAAAAAAGATTTATTGAGTTAGGTATAACAGTCATTGAGAAACTATTGATAAAGGTGTAAAAAAATATGCTAAATTATACTTTTCAAACCTTTAAATAAAGATTTCTTAACAACCACATGATAAAAGTTTTTTTTTTTTAATTTTATGAATCTATAGAATTAAAATAAAAAAAATTGATTGAATTCAGTTAGGTAAGTGTCGAGTAAGCTTTGCTCAAAATTTTAGTATCTTTTAAAAAAAAGTTATAGTCAAATTTTAGGTTAAATTTTAATAAATATTTTTCAACAACACCTGTACAAATTTGATTGAAATTAATTCTGTAGATCCGTAGAATTAAAATAAAAAAAATTTATTGAATTTGTACATGTAGTTTTTGAGAAATCTTTGTTTAAAGTTTAAATAAAAAATTATTATAACTTCATTTTTTAAAAGTTTTTTTTTAAAACTTTAAACAAAGATTTCTCAACAACTACTTGTACAAATTCGATAAATTTTTTTATTTTAATTCTACGGATATACAGAATTAAAATAAAAAATTTCAAGCAAATTTGTACAGGTGTTGTTGAGAAATATTTATTAAAATTTAACCAAAAATTTGGCTATAGCTTTTTTTTAAGAGATACTAAAATTTTGATCAAAGCTTACTTGACACTTACCTAGCTAAATTCAATCAATTTTTTTATTTCAATCTTAGATTTTAAAGATTAAGATAAAAAATTTCATTAAATTTATACATGTGGTTGTTGAGAAATCTTTATTTAAAGGTTTGAAAAAGAAATTTTTTTACGATTTTAGCTTATTTTCTCTAAGATATTTTTTTTACACTTTTATCAATAGTTTCTCAATGGCTGTTAAATCAAGCTCAATAAATCTTTTTTTATTTGATTCTACAATAAATATAGAATTAAAATAAAAAAATTTCTTTAAATTTATCAAATAGTACTTCTACAAAGAAATAATTTAAATTTGTATAGAATATTTTTTACTTTATGCAGGATTTTTATTAATCCATGATGCTATTTTAGCATTTTATTAATTTATGATGCCATTTTATCAATCTATAATGATTCTAGATGAGCGTTATTTATTAACAATAGTTAAAAATAGTTTGTTTAATCTAGTTTATATTATTAATGGCTTGGATTTACCTATACTAGATTTAGTACATTGTACTAGATTTGGTATGTCAATAAACTCCATTATCTACTAATTTTTAAAATTAACTACCTTATTAAATATTTTTGTATTATACTTTAACCTTTTGCCTGATTGTAAAAAAAGTTTAATAGCTTTAAATCTATTTTTAAAAATTCTAGAATTTTTTTTAGGCCAAGAACTTTTAGTTTAGACTAATTTTTTATAGTATTTACTAGTAAACTTACAGAATATATTTATTCATAAAAAATTTTTTTATTAAATAAATTTGATTTTTTTTTAATAAAAGTTGTAAAGATTAGTTTACTAATTTAAATTATAAAATTTCTTTAAATTTTAGCTAATATATAAAAAGTTATTTAAATTTAAAATTTTTAAAAATTAGTACTATATAAAGTTTTATATTAAAATATAGATATGATTTTTTTAAAATTTAAAATAATATAACTTGAAATAAATTAATTTAATAATAAAAAAATTTTAAAATCAAAATTAGATACTAATTTATTTTAAATTTAATTAAAATGTAAAAAATTTTAATCAATAAAAAAATTTTTAAATTGTAGCTAAATTTGTGTAACTTACTATATACAGTAAAGATATGCAATAATTTTCAAAAAACACTTATAATAAAAGTATTAATTTTTATAATATAATAAATAAAAAGTTTTTAATTAATGATAGAAATACCAAATTGTTTTATATAATTAAACTTTTAGTTTATAAAATTTATTAATATATTATTAGTATAATTAGATCTAAAAGGTGTACTAGATTTTGCATATTACAAGTTACAAATAATATCTAATACAAAAAAATTTTTATCTTGATAATTTTATTATTAATAATATAAAAAAAAATAACATTAAACAAATCTTGAATACTTAGCTAGGAACTTATGTATTTAGATTACGCATTCCTTATACAATAAAGACAGGATTGCCAAAAAAAAAAAAAAAACAAATCTTGAATACTTATCAGATTTTTGTATATAAAAATTTTTTAAGTATAAATTTTAATCTATTTTTTTAACTATACTAGATTTCGTACAAAGGGGTAAATCCAATCCATTAAAGAGAAACCTTATAACCCGTAATTATGTGAGTTTATCAATTTAAACCATTTGACCTTAATCACTATTTGTTTATGATCGAAGCTAAATTGGTTCAAAACCCTATCCCTTACACCATCTTACAGGCAAATTTGCCTGCAACTTTTTGACAAAGTGTACTTTTTTGCGCAGATCATATATAAGTTGTTATTTAGAGGTATATAGTATCATAAGCAAATTGAATCTACTATTCAAGAGCTTTTCACCAATATCATTTTTGGCAACATGTGGCCCTTGTGTCTTTTGGATTCGTTGCTTACTTTTTGGGGCCTCTAGAAACTACCTGATTATCTCGTGCAGAAATAAAATTTCAGAGATGATCTTTTGGTCTTAGATTGTAATAATAATTTATAATTGATTGCTAATATTAATAAAAAAGACAATATATTGTTATTAAATAGCTAATAATTTATCTTTTTTATTATTAATAATATATTTTAAGTGATAAATTAATAATTTATTATTTACGTGATTATTACAAATAAAAAAATATATTCATTAAATAGATTTTTTGCTTCGCTTGCTATTTAAGCATCTATAAAGTAATATATAATCATATTCTTTTGAAGTACATAAATAGCTAAAATAGTAGTTTTCATGAATAATACTATAGACCTGCATGAGTAAGAAAATGGTAATAAATCAGATAACTCATCTGAATTTAATAAAAGTGAGTTTGGTGTATGTTTTTCACAAGAAAATTATAATGAACTCTTAATGAGTGATCTTTTGGTGGATATTGACAATTTAGGTTTAGCAAATGACAATACTGAAGAAATATTGGATTCTCAAAATGTTTCGTCTGCTAAAGGTCAAAAACAAGGCAGAAAAAGATTACATAAATCTAAAAGCAATCATAGTGATATTTTCACAATGGAAGTTAGACAACAAGTAAATTCATCCGAGTCATTAAATTTTAGACCCTTACAGCATAATCATCCACTCCGTGAAAAAGGTTACTTAAATCTTCCTAGATGTTTTTATTTAATTGGAACTGTAACACCTTTGATATTATTTTATGAGTTCTTTTAACTAATTCTCTGAAACAAATAGTTGAATCAACTAATAAATATAATGCAATCCAAAATTCATCAGATTTGGAACGGGTATAGAATGCTCTTAGTTTAAATGAATTTAAAATTTGGCTTGCAATTGTTATATATATGGGTGCTTATAGAATTTCATCACATGAAACAATGATAATCAACAACCAAGACATCATATCACAAACTTAATGACGTTAAAACGATTTGAGCAAATAAAATGTTACTTGCATATATCAAACCCTCTTGGGTCTCATCCAAATTGGTATTCCAAAGTTGAACCACTTGCTTTAGCTGTTCAGGATACATGCAAAAGATTATACATACCTGCTTCAAATATGTCTCTTGATGAGATGATTGTTCACTTTTCAGGAAGAAGTGCACATACTGTGCGTATGAAGTTTAAACCTACTCCTGAAGGTTATAAAATTTTGGCTTTATGTGATTCTGGGTATACATGGACATTTTCTTTTTCATCACGGATTAAAAAACCAACATATTTACCTCATATTCAGGGTGATAATGAAACAGGTCGCCATGTTTGTTATCTTGTACATCAGCTTCCACTTGCAACACATGCATTTACAATTTATATGGATAATTACTTTACTTCGATACCATTATTTCAATATTTACAGAATAAAGGTGTTGGTGCTTGTGGGACAACACGTACAAATTCTGCAATGTTTCCAAAAGAATTAAAATTACAAGATAAAAAGTCTTTAGAATGGGATACACTATTAGGTGTAGTTGTAAATAATGTGCTTGCTATTCTTTGGATTGACAATGGGCCAGTAACTATGTTAATCACAGTTCATAGAATTACTGGTAATGAATCTCAAATTCAACGTTTACGTCGACGTCCTGTGAAACTAGCTCAAATGCTCAAAAAGTTCGGGCCATTTTTGGAAAATCTTCACGAAAACAGTTACTAATTCCTAAAGTTATTGATGACTACAATCATCATATGGGAGGTGTCGATATTGCAGACCAAATACGTTCATACTACAATTCACAACTTACAACCCGTCGAAATTGGCCTCCATTGTTTTTTTGGCTATTAGATACATCAATTATTAATGCACATATAATTCGGTGTAAGGGATAAAGCTCTCCCCCGATCGTAACACCGTATTCGAGATTAGAATCTTTTTGATATTCTATTTTTATTGTCATTTTTCTTTATACATTATATAAGCATAGTTATTATTGTCGTAATCATGTGTAATATTCATTTGGTTTTATTTAACGAAATATTAAATGTAATTCTATAAAATCATCTTAATAAAGTTATTTATTAAGATATTATAAAAGTTTTAAAATTTTACACAGCCTTTTTGTTATACCATAAATAAATTAGAAAATTTAAATACTGTACCTATTTTTTTCTTATTGTTAGACATAAAATAATTAAACAAAATATGAAAACAGTGCCTCAGCACTATATTAATGTCATGCTCTTAAAATGCATAATAAATTTAAGCCTTCATTTATTAATTAACGATAGGTAACGATAAAGAATTTGTAAAAGTATTAAAATGAGTTGGAATTAAAGTTTCAGTTTGATAATATTGATCAATATTTTCATAAATGTTATTAAAATGAGAATCAATAACCGGATAGTAAGTATTATCATAAACGTTAAATTGAGGATCATAAGCATTCATTACTGTGGTTGATGTGTAATCAATTTCTGAAAAGTCTAATGGGAATGGAGATTAGTAAAATTTATAAAATTAATACGTGAATATGAAGATTTTAAATATTTAAGAAATCTTTTTTACAATACCACTCGTATAACTTTCTTCATTCTGACCATG